ATTTATAAAATAGTTAATAAATGTTGTAGTGGGGACCACTTTTGAAAGTGTAGGTGACGTGGCACAGTTGAAAGTGTTGTAGGTGAATTGCAGGTGTGTGGAARATAATTGCAAAAGCTGATGTGGCACAATTGAAAGTGTAAATGGATTGCAGGGATGTGGATGGTCTGAGAGGTTGATTAATCATGTATATTATCATCTTCAATATATATTAATTTTAGAGAAATACATGAAACAGTTTTATTAAAATTTCATAACCATATATGAAACAATTTCATAACCATATATGAAACAATTTCATAAAAAATGGTATTATATGAAACTATTTTATAAGATTAAACAATGAAATCGACGGATGAAAGTGATTTACACGGTTTATATAAATATAAGTAATTTGCATTTGATCGCTCATACATACATAAACCATCATTTCAACAATTAAATTTAAAGGGTAATCATGGTAAAACAAGATAAAACACATACAAAGCATCGTTCCATTAGAATATTTATGAATCACGCATCTGAAATCTGATTTTAAAACATAATCCAAACGATTAATAATTAAATATTACAAAATAAAGTCGTATTTATTCTTAAATACATTTATTTTGTAATATTTAATTATTAAACAATAAAAAATACTTTATTTTTCACACCAATCAACAAGTCTATTTCCTCTTGACGAATTTATGAGGTATTCATGGGTATAGGGGTAGCAACAAGAGGTGTTGCTCTAAGCAATGTAAGCCCGAAAATGTCATTCATGTCCATCTCTTCTCTGGCGTGAGGAAGCTTCCAATCAAAATGATACACGAAGGACGCAACCATCAAACTTACCACCCGATGAGCCAAGGGTATTCCGGGACACATCCTTCGTCCCGATCCAAACGGTAAATACTTAAAATGCTGACCCTTGTAGTCAAGCTCGTCTTTCAGAAACCGTTCGGGCTTAAACGTCGTTGGGTTTTCCCAATATCTTGGATCCCGTGCTATGGCCCATGCGTTCACTAGAATTTGAGTGTTTTTTGGCACAATATATTCACCAAGTTTAACTTTAGTTTCAGTTTTGTGTGGCACCAATAAAGGCACAGATAAATGAAGACGCATTGTTTCTTTAATGACGGCGTGTAAATAAGGCAAATTGAGGATTTTGGCTTCTTCTATCTTCCCATCTTTTCCCACTATTGTGGAGACTTCTTGGCGAACTCTTGAGAACATGTCAGGGTTAAGCAACAATTCGGTCATTGCCCATTCTGTTGTATTTGAACTCGTTTCTGTTCCCGCTAGAAACAAATCCTGCAGATTAATGAAACTAGGTTACTTAATTATTTTTTTATCATTTTAAAGGAATTTTATATAAATAAGTCATATATACGTAAAGAATTTACACAATTTTATTTTAATGATTAATTTGTTAGGTATAAAATGTGGGTTTTAATTATGGTAAAGAAAAATGAAAGTATTATATTTACCACAAGTAAAGTCTTGATGTGTATGAGGTTGAACTCAGTTTCATTCTCTTCACTGTAATCCAACAGTGAATCCAACATATCACCAAACCTTGGAAGCTTCGATTCTCGATGCTCTAACCTCTCCTTTATAAACCCTTCTGTCACTGTATCGAACCAATCATAAGCCGCCTTCGCCTGCCGTCGTATGTTCTGGGGGTCCAACGGCTTCAGCACCGGAAATATGTCTGCAATGTTAAACTTTCCGTCCACCTCCATCAATGTCTTTACTGCCGTCTTAAACCCTCCGATATCATCGGAATCGTAGCTCGTCACGTTCTGTGAAAGGCATGTGTTGGACATCTGGTTGAGTGCCACCGCGAACGCCAGTTTTCCGATGTCCACAGCCTCGTTTTTCCGGCTGGAGTCCCGGAGGAAGTCCAGCATTCCCTCCACCACGTTCTGGCGAAGGTCACGGAGGGTGTCGAGTTTGTGTTGGTGGGTGAGGTACGTGTTGAGGGCTTTTCTGATGGTCCTCCACTCTTCGTTTGGTGGGATCCAAAGTACGGCGGCGTCATGGTTGTCCAAGGCGGTGACGGCGTCTGGGATAAGGCGGCCGGAGCAGGCTTCATCGTTGCGTTGAAGGATTTCTCTGGCGGCATCGGGGGTGGAGGCCACCACGCTGGTGATGCTCCCCAATCGAATGGTCATAAGTGGACCGTGTTTCTTAGAGAGTTTGGCTAGGGATTCATGGGGTTTTGGTCCCAGGTCAAGAAGGTTTCCGATGATGGGAAGGCCAGCAGGTCCCGGCGGCATTCTCCGTTTACGGTGGAGATCAAGGCCTTGGAAGAGGAGGAAGAAGAAAATAACGGTGGAGAGAACTAGAAATAGGAACTCCATTGCTTTCTTTTCCTTGTTCTGTGTGTAAACCTAGTGGTGATGGTGTCTATTTATAGAAGGATCCATGTTTTAACCATTTCCAACAAAATGAGAAAGTGGGATGCTTTTTCTTTCAATAGATTCTTTAAAAACTTTCTTAAATTAGAAAAGAGCCAAAAATCTCTGAATTTGAATAACACCTCAAAAAAATGATTATGGTAATAGGGAAATATTATTTAATTAATATATTTATACTAATAGCAAAGTTTAGAAAATAAATATTTAAAGAGAAAATTAATATTTTATTAGATAAAATAATGTTTTAATAATATAATAAATGTTATAATCTTTAAAATAAAGAATCTGTTAGAGTTAATTGTATTTTTATTTTAAAGATATTGAAGTTTCATCCTTTATTTTGAAGAAATTTTGAAAAATCTATTGAAGTTGTTCTTATAAGTAAATAAAATGTGATAGATACTTTTATATTGGCATTGATTCTTTGAATGTGAATAAAAAAGGGTTGACGTACCTGATCCGTCGGGACGGACCAGACCATGATGCAAGCAGGTTGGACCAAGTTAATTAGGTTGACGATCTCTAATCATTCTAAATGTTATGAGGTCAAATCGATAGTGCGGTAATCGTTTTTTGACTGACATTAGCCGGATCGAACTTTCTTTTTTGAACCAATATGACTAAATTTTGGATCGGAAGAGACTGGATTCTCTAACATTGGATTTCATTTCGGTTTTGATATAAAAAGATTTACATTTATCCTCATACTCTATCTTTAACGGAAGAACATAATACATTAATTAACTTGGTTTAGTCATTGTTATCGATGACCATATAAGTTGTTTTCTTTTGTAGATTTATGGATTTGCATTTGCAATCATTAATTATTATGAAAGTATATATTATCCATAATGTAAATTAAAATCGAGCATCAGGTTCTTCTTTCTTTTATCACTTAGGAGCCGTGTCAGATGAAAGTCTCATGGACGGTAATACAGGGGTTTTATAGTTTGGTTCGATTAGCGTGTTTTACCTTTGCTGATACAAGAAGGGAGTTCTGTAAAAGCAACAGGGAGTTTTCTTGCTCCATATTTGCATGAAAATCTAATAGATGAATAGTCATTCGACGAAAAATCATTGAATCCGGTTCCCATATTTATTTCTTAGTTCTTATCAATTCCTGTAATGTAAAAAAGAACAATGGTAAAATTTCTGTTTGCCAAGGAGAAGACGCGGGTTCGATTCCTACTATCCGCCCAAAATGAAATTATTACTTGAATTCAAAGTTCATAGTTACTTCGATCGCCAGGTTGTCTCTTGTCTGCCCATGGATTCAGCAGCAGTTTGAAATTGACTACGGATTCGAGACATAGCACATGGTTTCGTAAAACCACACGATTTTCCCAATCTAAATCAAACAGGTTTTACATGAAGAGTTTGGCTTGTGAATTCAATCGACAGATCTAAGCTTAACCATTAAGTCCGGAAAAAAATACAATATTAATTTGATGCATCAATTATCGACTTGACTTAGCTCCAAAATTTGGCAATGGATCGTTATCCCATATGTACACTGCACCACATTCAATCAAGTTTGATTCCCTCTCAACTATCATCAATTTATGATCAATGGTACAACTAATTATCGCATATACATAAGTTACAACCAAATTGTGGCGTATACGTATGTTACGACGAATGAAGTTACATTATATACATGTAAGTAATACTAGTTATGTATGTACCTACATGTTGTTGCTAGATGTAAACTAAAAATCTCATTTTAAGTCTATAAATATAAACAAAAATAAAGTAGGTTTATTTTTATTTTAAAAACAAGAAGTCTTAATAGTTGGCTGAAACCTAATAAGCTACAACAGCTTTATCTATTCAGCCTCTTTTTCCTTCTACATCAGGTATATGTACAGCCATCACATAAAATGTAATTAATTAAGTAGTTATATTATACTTATATTATACAGACCCCATAAACTTGCAATCTTTTGGCACCAAGAAGAGGAGGATTTCTGTTTTTCTACTCACAAGTTGTGTATTGATTGACTAGGAGCACTTGGATTAAGCTAACAACCCCCATATAGCTCTAAAAGCTGTAGTTAACGACTTAACCCTACCATTAATGATTCAAAAGTAATAATTAAGAAAGAAACAGCCTCGTCTTTTTGAATTCAGATCATGGTTTATTTACCAGAAGAATGCTTAATTTGGACTATATGTCCTTTATAAGACCATAAAGGGAAACTTAAAAAAAAATCTAATGCTTGAACCTTGATCACCTTTGTGAGTAGGATCCAAATAAATGGAATCATTTCCACTTGCTTACGAACCTACCCTGAATTAAAGCGATGGGAGGCCACTTTCCTAATCCATCCCCTCTTTCTATTTTTGCATAAAAATATGATGTTTTTGTGGGTTAGTGAAGATATATATATATATATATATATATATATATATAAACTCATCACATTTGTACAACCAATGCAACCCAATAAATTGAGATGTTTATGGAAATGATGAGAGTTCATTTATTATGATTTAAATATTTATGGAATATAAATAGAGTTCATTAATTGTGATCAATACTTTATATTAGAAAACAATCAAAACTTCTATGAAATCACATCTTCATCAAATTAAATGGACAGTTGAGATTGAGTTGTATTGGTTATACAAATGTAAAAGGTTGTATAATAACCAACATATATAGGCGGGATCAGTTGAAAACCGCCTAATTCTTAAAAACCGTGTAAACCGATTTCGACGAATAGAAAAATTATTATTATTTTAATTAAATTTAATCATTAAGGGTATAATTGTCATATATATATATATATATATATATATAGGCGGGATCAGTTGAAAACCGACTAATTCTTAGAAACCGTGTAAACCGATTTGGACGAATAGGAAAATTGTTTTTTTTATTAAATTTAATCATTAAGGGTATAATTGTCATTTATATATA